TGTAAACATGTCTATCTACATTCATGTTGCCATACATAAAACAAGAGAAACTGTTGTAAAAAGAGTGTCAACATAGGTAGGTAGCTCCTTTTCAGATTAATAAACACTTCAACGTTGTACTTCTAAAACATGTACATTTGAACACTGGACTATTATTAGCCTATTTCTTTTCTACACTCACTATAATTGCCAACTTCTTTGTTTAATATCTCTTTGTCCAGTTAAATCAGAGAAAACGTTTTTCAGTGTTTTCTATCAATGTTATTTCACAGTTGTAGGATATCCGGAGATACGGTATTAACATTTYTTGGGCATCTCTGTTTTCATGTTTAGAACTTGGTTTGTACGGATTSAAACATTTCACTACGTTTCAGGTTTGAGAGCATCTGTCAGTTTTCCAACGAGAWATTCTAATCATAAACTGCATCAACTTGTGTAAATTTGTGATCTATGCCTATAAGAKCATTTACGACCTTCAGCTTTCATTTTGTTTATCACGAGGAAASTGWTCAATGATATGTMGAATAGTGCACATAGTTCGTTTTRCGATCAAAGAATGTTTCTTCACTTTYTCTTTGACCACTCTTTCAGGCAATTTGACGCCATTTTGTGGTAGATASCTTMATGGTCTTAATGTCCCATAAGAATTCATTTGGTATTGGCGRTTTTTGYTACGGTGTTAGGTTTTCTTGAAGGACATCTAATTWTTAGCATTTTGTATTTTGCATAACTGTGGAATGGCCGAAATTCAATGGATATTCCGACAGCATAGTGTCATTCCTKCTGAGCGTAGTCTACAGTACGTGCTCTCCTACTTTCATTCTTGGCTTTGTAGTTTTAGAATATATATTTTCTGACTTTCCTGAGCACTTGGAACTGCTGATGGGATTGTTTTTCCATATTTTGAATATATTTTTACTTTTATTATGAAGGTTAAATATATGTCATTATTGTTATTATCCTTCCTTCTTAACTCTTTCTTTAACAAGTCGTTGTGTTATTTGGTTAGTTTTTGGCCTCCGTAAAGTCTCAGTTGGTTTTCTTACGTTTGATTACTTTTTGTTGTCAGTATCGCATTGGCCTTATTGATGTAATCCCAACTCACTAATGTTTTATCATTAACATGGATGTATCGTGTCTACCAAAGGAGTTTGTGTAGCTTTGCAATTCAGTGGCATTGTTTTGTCTGAGCGGTGGTTGGATCAGTGTCTTTCTTCGRCATAGTGCCTTCTTTGCAACTTCTCGAAAGTCGGAAAGATATCTAAAGTAAATGCAGGGGCTGAAGAAGGAGTTGATGACAGGAAGATTMAWGAGGATATAGTAAAAAGAGATCCAGTCAATACAGGCTGAGCGATCTATTAGATTTATATCTGATTTGATGATACCAAARTCAAGAATTTGAAACGCATTAAAAAGGAAGTATGGAACCCAGCAACAAGTGTACAGCAATATGGAGACCAGAACCATTCGTACGGCTGCTTGAGCTCGTTGTTTTCKTAGGTTTYGATGTCGTTCGTTTAGATGGGCTTGGATGGCTCGAGGTTTGGACAGTCGTCTTATTGTGATGACACTCAGAACAAATATCACAAAACACAGAATAATACTTGAAAATGCAAATCCTATCCACAGAAAGTCTGTTGCGTTCGCGGTATGGAACTCATAACTACAAATCTCAGCACCAGTTACAACCGCATTGTACGTATCCAAGCTTGCGACTAGCATGGGAATTATCCAAGAGACTCCGAGTATTAACATACGCCGTTTAAGTGTGTATGGTCTTGACATGTCCATAATTTGTGTGGTTACTCTGAATCGTTCAATACTGATGACCAATAGAGTGATTAAAGATACCTTATAGGAGGTTGACCTTATAAACATGATGACTTTACAGATTACAACGCTAGWGGTGGTTCCTTTAGGGTATATGGCCAATTTAAAGTCAGATAGCCAGGGAATGGAATCTATAAGTTCCACAAGAAGGTAAAGAGCATCCGACACTGCCATGTTGGTGATCAAAAACTGCAATTTCTTCTGTAATTTGTATTTGATAGCGACTATGATGACAAATAAATTTAGGCAAATTCCCAGRATACYGACTAGTCCAAAAACAGTTTGTTTGGCAATTTTCTCTGCTTCGGTTTCTGGTCTGTGATACTTGCAGTAACCAGAACCTGTGTTCGTGTAGTTGGTGAGTGAGAAGTTTGAGCCGTTCATCGTTGCTTTAGGCAGTTTATATGCTCTCTGTTTGAACTTCAATGCAATAATGAGAAATATATCCAATGGGCTGAATAGAGTATTGTAGTAATAAAGTGAGGAGGGATGGATCAATTACTGATCAAGAAATGCTATTGGCGGGAAGAAGGAAAAGTACACCTGTATACAGTCGCTTGTCATAAATTATAATATATTTAAAGGCGGTCGTGGCACATAAAAGATAATGAACTTCCTAACTTAGCTTGTCTTATAATCATGAATGTCTTAATGTTTCTCTTCATTTTGATCTCATTCGAGAACAGAAAGAGTAACAAACACCTGTTTGCATGTTGCTCGTGACATGAATGACAGTTATTAATGCTGCCTAGGTTCTGCGTGGATTACAGTACTTACCCGCTTATAAGAACCTGCAATTTAAGAACCTGTTAGCCTAAAAATATCAAAATAGACCCCATTTACGTAAGAACCTACTTAAAGCCTAAAATTTCAAACATGTTCTTATAGATAAGTTCTTATAGAAATTAACCTAAAGAATTCTTCATTCTTTTCCTCTCCTATTTTTGTGGCTATGCAGATTTTCCCTATCAAAAAAAAAATTTCATCAACGATAGAGCAAACGCAGAATTCACGTGAGAAAATTACATGGGAAAAGTATTGGGAAAGCCATCATAATCATCTTTTTTGCTTTAGATCTATCTTGTGTTGTATCTTCTTGGCAGAAGGAAAGCTTGTGGTTATAACTTGCGTGAAGTCATTTTTATTGTTGAATATCAAGTTCCAGATCCTTCATACATGAGCAATATTTTTCAGGTTTTGAGTGAAGAAATTTGTGATTTCAAATTATTTCGTCGAGTTCAAAATTATGTTGAATAGTCGACTTCAGATATTTGGGTTCAGTGACAATGCACAAAAGAATTGCGGACGAGGCTCCGGGGAAATAAAAGAATAAATCAAGATTATCCATTGTTTCCCCGGAGCCTTGTGTGCGTTCTTTTGTACATAGTCATCGAACCAAAATATCTAAAGTTGACTATTTTGTTGAGCTGGGAATCGATCGTTGGTAACAAAAGTGGTGCCGACCAGAAAGAACATACTGGWTTCTTTTATCGTCCGACGATGTGGTGATGATATTTATTTGATAATTGAATTAAACGGACAGGAAGTAAATGTAAATTTGCACATCCAAGTGCTAGACTTTCTTAGACGACATTATCCTTAGAAATTATGCTCAATGAATCCACCCAAGTTTTGTTTGATACGCGATCGGGAAGGTGTTTCATATGCCAGATATGAGTTTCTCCTTTGGAATAGAATAGTCCATTCACACACAATTACAATAGTTTAAGAAAGGAAAAATGTTAATTTAGTGAGTACAAAACGATGAATTCARAGCCACATTGATAATAAAAACTCGCAAATGATAGTTTTTCTTCAKACCGTGAACKATTGTTATTTGAAATATTCCAACAATGGTTTTAACCATCCTTAGTGACTGTCCTCGGGTCAAYAGTAAGTGCGGGCAAAA